TATCACTTCATTTACTTCTTTTAAATAGATATTTTAAGATGTCAAGATAAATTAAGTAAGTATTTATTTATTTATTTATTATTCATTATTGAGCAATTACTTATTTGATCCAAATAGCGTCTTAAATCCTCTTTAGGTTTGTCTAGACACTATTTATTACGATTAAAAGAAATAATATTGAAAAGCATTAAAATTTAAGCCTAAGTTTAATTCTGAGTTCTATTACTCGTAAAATACTTGAAGACGCTTATTTACAGTCCACTAAATCATAGCTCAAGTAAGTACACTTTAGAAGGTTACGATAGGAAATATGACATAGGAGTATCTGAGATAGCCCATAATTCCCGTCAGTCGGGATAGGATATGGCTACTAATGCAAACAACCCATCAAGTTATGAGGGTTATGGGGCAAGATCCCTGGTTAATTGGGCGGACGGTTTAACAGCAAACTAACAATTTGAGGCGATTTAACAATTAACTTGAATACATAGAAGGGCTGCCTAAGATTTGATTTGGCTATTAAGGTAGATTTTTGACAGCAAGAAGTTTTAATTAACACCAAAAATACATATAGCAGTTCAGACACTATTCTTCTTTAATCTAAATCTCCTTTCTAAATATAAATTTCCTTCTTAAATCTAAATATTTTTTCTAAATCTAAATATCCTTTTTAAATCTAAACCTCCCCAAATACAAATAGCCTTGCACAAATCCCCATCATTCCTTCACTCCAACCACCACCATCTGAACCGGGTACGCAGAACTGACGGCCGATGGGGCAGCAAGGTTCTGGAGTAGAGGCCGCGTACCGGAAAACGCAGCATGGGACGTCCACCCACAAGGTGGACCGACGACATCATAAAGGTAGCAGGAAAGCGCTGGACGCAGGCCGCTACCAACCGGGTAACATGGAAAGCATTGGGGGAGGCCTATGTTCAGCTGTGGACGTCCTATGGCTGAGATGATGATGATGATGATGATGATGATGAACCACCACCACTGTCTAGTTCAATTATAAGTTGATGAAGTCAAAATTCTGAATGCAATGAAAACCCAAGAGCGTAGAGCAAATGAGATTAAATTCTTGACAAAAGATATACCTAAAAGGTAAATCAAGCTTTAAGAACACCTCCTTGGTTCCAATAAAGCATATTAAGGCCTACTCAAGGAATTCTCTCCTCAAATCTGCATGAATTTCCACGGAAATGTCACGTCGAATTTTAGAAGCCGTTTTTTGGATTTCATAAAGAGCTTAATTGAAAGAAACGTCGATTCTTCCCGCGCACGGAAGTGTGCGGTGGATTTAATTTTGCCCACGTATAATATGTCGAACAGAGGCTTATGTATGAGCATATAAATGTTGAATTTTGGATCGTTGTCTGAAGAAAATTAGACGAGAAATCTAGTGGCAAATTCTTCTGAGATCAAAATAAATGGATGAAGACTTGGTTGGATACTATACGGCTACGAGGCAAGTTAATTTGTAGTGGTCATGTCTCTGGTACAGTCAGCATCAAATAGTTCGTGACACCAATAGTTACTTACTTTACTACTGTAGCCAATAAGATCGCAACACGCATTTGTTATAATTGGGATATAATAAGGTTGTGTTTACTTAGGGACTACACATCAAACAGAGAATGGGCAGCAGCGCTCTCTGAAAAACATCAATCTTTTAAACTGCGATCTCCAACCCGCCTGCCAAGCGTGGAGATTATGGCAAAACCCTCCACCATAGTGGAGGAGGCTCATAGTCCAGCAGTGGACTGTAAGGGGCTGTTGATGAAGATTGTGTTATCAACTTTTTGGCCACTATTTGATGCCGACTGTAAATGATGAAATGTTACATTGTTCAGTTTGTACTGTACAGTCAACAACATATCACGGCTCCTATGGTTGTTGCAAAACAGCATCTATTAAAAAAACATCATAATGATGCTACAATGCCAAAATGACTGTGCCATTTTGGCATTGTACTGAAACTAAGACAATATTCGGCAGTGGATAAATGCGTGCTGTTTAGAAAAAAGATAATCAAACCACAATGACAAAAAGTTTGTCACGACAGCAACTTTTGTGCGTAGAAAATGTTAATTCTATATTTATCCATTGAAAGGATATTTTTAGTCATTTATTTACGTTGTCACGGACAAGGTCGCTAATAGTAGTATTTCCTTGTTTCTATCACTAACACTAAACAGTTCAAAAATGTTGTAAGTTTGTTATTAAAATTTGATATTTTACAGCTACTAATTGTACAGTCGATAAACTAATCAGATGAATGTATGAAACAGTTCAAAATTTTTCATAATATTGTTATTGAAACTTGATATTTTACGGCTATCTGTACAGTCGAAAAACAATCCGATTAATGTAAGATGTAAAATGATAGTACTTAGGTAATAATAGTAGCTTTTTTACATACAATACAGCATTAACGTCTTGGTGGACACTTAGGCTGGGTTGCACCATCTTATTTTAACTTTGATAAACGTTAAAAATCTGTCAAACTCAATACAAAAGCACCGGTTAAGTATCGTTATAGTTACGGTCAAAGTAAGATGGTGCAAACCAGTCTTAAAGTAACTAAGTTTAAAACTCATGAGCTCATTGAAGCATACTTCAACTGGTATTCAAGTTTAACTACTCTGAATGTGGAAATTACTAGGAAATTACGGTATTTAACTAATTTCTGTAATAAGCCGACTGACCGTAAGTAAAACGTACAACTAGCATATCAAGCTTTACACTGTGGCTTCTTATGAAGTGGAAATAAGAGTGGTATTGCAACAAAAATGAGTAGTTTGACGTGCCGTATGAGTTACTGCTTGAGTCACGAAACGTGAAGTCAATGACATTGGTTCCATTCGCATGGTTGCCATTATGCTTCGTCTTGGCTTTATGGGGTTTTGTCACTGAAATATGGTTATGAACTAACCAAAGAACCGCCCTGGGTTTGCATGAAAAACGGTTTAAAAATGCTTTATTTAGATATTGGGAATTGTCTTGAGATATTTTATAAGCTCTACCATAGTACAGTATCTAAAAGTCTACCTCTAAAAAAGTCGAAAATAACATTTTATTTAACTAACACCCGATTTACCAATAATCCTTTAATAATCGGTAATCTATCTGTTTAATTTTACATTAAAACAGCCAAGTAGAAAAAACTGAAACAGGATTTCTTCAATATAATTATTTAAAGAATCACGGATTAACAGGCATTTAATGTGTGTCTTTTGAGATTATCTTTTCAACCGACTTCAAAAAAGGAGGAGGTTCTCAATTCGACCCGTATGTTTTTTTTTTTCTATGTTTGTTACGCGATAACTCCGCCAATTATGAACCGATTTGAACAAATCTTTTTTCGGCGTATAGGTAATACCTCAAGGGTGGTCCCATTTAAATTTAATAATAAAAAAACAACCCCCAAGGGTGGAAAATTGGGGATGAACTTTTTTATACGCAATATCTCCACCAATTATAAACCAATTTGAACGATTATTTTTTTGTTGAATAGGCATTATGAAAAGGGTGGTTTCATGCGAATTTGAAGAAAATATTTCACCCCCAAGGGTGGAAAATTGGGGATGAACTTTTTTATACGCAATATCTCCGCCGATTATGTATGATACCAATTTTTTTTTGGTCTCAGTGTACTGCCTACCTTCAGTGGTAACATCAAGGTAATAATTAGTTAACTAAAAAGCAAGAAATAAGTAAAATTTTATAAAAAAAAAAACCTACACTAAAACGTAGAAAAATAATTACTAATTACCTACTTATTTATTAGGACGAATTATTAATATTTATGTAGGTATACCATGATTGATACTTTTGGAGTCGGTGCAGGCAAACTTTACATGTTTCATAATCTTGGCACCGACTCCAGAAGTATCAATCATGGTATACCTACATAAATATTAATAATTCGTCCTAATAAATAAGTAGGTAATTAGTAATTATTTTTCTACGTTTTAGTGTAGGTTTTTTTGGAGTCGGTTTTTTTTTTATCTGTAACAGTTTAACAGTAATAACGGAGTTTTTTGCTTTATATTTTTGAAAGTTAACTCAAGACCTTTACTTGACTCGTGAAGTGTAATTACGTAAGTGCATACTTAAGTAATCAAACGTACAGAAAACATTAAGCCCGTTGTAATTAAATTATAATCCCATTAGCCATTCCCATCCAGCTAAAACTGACGTCTGTCCAAAGAAACTGAACGTTACAGCTAATTTAAATTTTTGTGGGCGAAAATTCCCATTTCTTATCTGTCAAGCGTCATTAATTAGGAAAAGAAGTCATTAGCGACGATTAAAAAAAGTTGGGACCGAATATAAATACGCTTAGCCCAAAAGGCGGTAACGCTACGTCCCAATTTTACCTACCAAGGCTATATTATCTCCACGTCATCTATAAAGTAACATGAAGGAAATTTTTGAACGTAATCACTTAATGGTTATTCAATAAATTAACTAATGAACGAACATCGCGACTTTAGCGTATTTAGTTTAATCGCTCTTGAGCGCTTCAGTTAAGTCTTAGAAATTAAGTAATTATAGTTCTTTTAACGATTCCGAGGCGCTCATGTTGTTGAAATGCTCAAATTACAGTATTCAGACGAAAATTACGGGCGTTTGGATATTAATGTTAAAATTACACATGCTAGAGACAACTCTAGAGGTCGTTGTTTAATAAGCTGCGTAGATAGTGCAGATTCGACGCATCTATGCCGGCGTCCGACACAAATACAGCTCGCTTTCCAGCTTCAAAACAAACAAGCTGTCGCGGACAAGTTTGCTCTCCGCAGTTTTAAGGTCAACTAGATCGGCGTAGTAAGGGCGACTGCGGGCGCGGCCCGGCCTCAGACGGCTCTAACCTCGCGACGTCTCACATGGCGAACTAAACCATGCCAATAATAAACACCATAATCGATATCGAACGTTTGTTTTTCTCGCCAAAGGAGATGGTGTCGTTTTCGCTTTCGTTGCCGACTTACGCAACTGGCACGTGCTCGCGGTATCGGGCGGCCGCTCGGTTCTTGAGGGGATACTAGGTGGTCGGGGGTGTGTGTTCACTGTCCGAGGTGGTCGGTAAGCCGGAGTCGCCGCCGGAGCGCCCGGGAGACGAGCGACGGGCTTCGCGGCCGGAGCGGGACTGGGCCGGTGGAGGCCCGCGCCTGCGTGCTCCGCCCTTCGCCACCCCTGATTGATGTAATATTTATATTTTTTTTGTAACCAGCCAGATCTTTGCATTAGGACCTACGTTGCTGAAAGCCCTATACGTGCATGTTTTTTTATTTGATATTTTAATGGATTAAAGTGACAAGGGATTTGATTAGCGCGTGGCAGCGCTCGGATCAATCCGCTGCGGTCCGCGGGCCGCTCGGAGGCGTTCGGGTTTTTCCGTTAGTGCTCGGGTTTCCGTGACGTCATGTGGGACGCACGCGCGGCGAGCAGCGACAGGTGGGCGCATTGCGCCGCGCCTATCATATGATTATGACGTTTCAGTCGGATTCGGCGGGAGGAAATTGCGGTAGTTTGCAAACGACGCCGGTCCTGGTCGCTAGTTTTGTTTAAGCAAACAAGTACGGTTTGGATGGGTGTGAATGCGCAAACTTCTGGCTAGCTGTATAATGTAACAATAGCCTTACAGGAGAAAATTAACAAATTGTTCTTGTAAATCTTAATTAGCTGAAAGTTTAGATTAATACCACCAAATGTCGAATTAAACCACCAATTCATCACATGCAAAGCAATCCCAACTTGGGTAATTTTTCTGGAACTTCACAACAGTCATCGTAGTTACATAATTATTTAATCCCCTGGTGGGTCGAACTTTTCGCATTAAATTCAGAGTTCTAGCCAGCCATTAGGCTAGGCGACCTATTATTGTATTCACTAAAACTAAAACTACGACTAAAAGTTTTAAGAGCAATTAGCGTTTTAGGTACGTTGTTGTTACCTTCGTAATGTACGAAAGATCTATGTAGGTAAGTATCAGTCGAGTACAATGTAAATCAAAATATGCTAAGATACCTTTTTCAGACATCGTTGACTCACATGTTTGGATTGTTTAACTGCCTAGCTCGCATCAATACTCATGACTATAATTTGTATATTTTAAAGACTGTAAACCCTTGAAAAGGAGGCTGACAATAGTGACTGAGTTTCTTACGCTGCTTCTTCTCAGCACTGGCCCATTTATTGTCCCGAAGCAGTGGTAGGGTTAATACTGGCACGTGTAAAAGTGCTTTTTAAAAGCCTATTTGCAAAAATAAAAGAGTTTTATGAGTTTTTAGAGTTTATCAAGTCTGCAATCCTGTAACTTAGGCGGAAGCCAAAAAGGTCAAGAAAGTCTCACTCTTACTTACTTCTTAAAGAAAGAGCTTTGAAAAGCTTAAGAAAGCTTTAGCCTCCAAAGCTGCCTTACATCTGTGGCCTCTCAACATCACGATCTTTCAAGAAGAGAGCGTATTTGTATCTTAAAGGCCAGCTACGCACCTGTAACGCCTTCGGGACTAAGGGTATCTATGGGCGACAGTAATCATCCTACTAATATTATAAATGCGAAAGTTTGTATGGATGTTAGGATGTCATGATGAATGTTTGTTACGCTTTCACGAAAAACTACTGAACGGATTTTGTTGAAACTTTACAGCCTATTATTTTTTGTAACCCAGATTAACATATAGGCTATAATTTATGCCAATCTGTGACACTCAATTTGCCAAGCCGCGGGCACAAGCTAGTTTACCATAAGGTGATCCATGTGCTCGTTTGCCTCATGTCCCATAAAGGAAAAATGTCGAAGCTAGTGCGACAGGTCTTTAAAGTAAACATTAACAACACCCTGTCTTATGATTAAAACTTACTCTTTGCCAACAAACAAGAACAAAAATTAATAACATGAGCTGAGAGAGAGGATTATGAAGTGTTAAAATGAACATGGCGCGTGCCACATGACGGGTAAGTGAGCCAGCTCATTTGATGTGGTTTTTTTTGGCTGTGAGAACTTTATGGTATGTCCATCGCTGCCCATCGCTGCTTAGCGAAATAACTATAGGGATGTACCTAATGAAGGTGTCTATTTATATGGTCAGCTGATATTAAGCCGTCTTATATGCCCGTTTTCACCATCAATCCCTAATTTTTAAGTGACCCCTATGGTAACAAATAACAGGAATTTTGTTTACATAGGGGTCACTTAAAAATTAGGGATTGATAGTGAAAACGGGCAAAATATCTGCTAGGTTGAATGACTAATTTATTCTGGATCTTAAATGGTTCTTACACTGCTTCTTCTCTACAGCACTGACTCAGTTAGGGAGCATTCAAGTGTTAGGTAACGCAATTTTTGAAGATTTTAGACTCCCCCTCCCCCCCTTATAACGCACCGTAACGTTTTTATGTACCCCCCCCCCCTCTCTAAACGTTACGTAACACTCAAGTGACCATTTTTACCCTAAAGGCGCTAAAAGTTATGTTATAGTTTTTGTTCTTGGTATAGTTGTAATTGCTTTTGCGGTAATCATACTAAATAAAACAAGAGATTTTTAATCCGCAACANCCGTAACGTTTTTATGTACCCCCCCCCCCCCCTCTAAACGTTACGTAACACTCAAGTGACCATTTTTACCCTAAAGGCGCTAAAAGTTATGTTATAGTTTTTGTTCTTGGTATAGTTGTAATTGCTTTTGCGGTAATCATACTAAATAAAACAAGAGATTTTTAATCCGCAACACCTGCGTATTTTGTTTATTTTTCTATAAATTTTTGGCTTTACACACACACAATTGTTTTGCCAACTTTCAAAAAATGAAAAATGACGACCAGACTATTCGCTGGGTGCGAAGTACTAGGTGGGGGTAACATAATCTATCGCAGCGCTCATGGTGGTCAAAAGTAGAAATAATGTAAGCTCTGTCATCAGATGTATCTGTCAATGGCAAAGCGATTCTACTTGTTACATCTTAATATCATTAATTAATCGCATGAAAAGGGTCCTACTGGGAACTTAAATAAAAGAGTGGACTGTATTTCGATAAGGCTGGTTTAATAACCGTTTACAATTTGGAAATAACTAGACTATACAACGTGGTAGTACAAAAATGAGTCACAGTAGTTGTTGAGCACAGATGTTTGCCTTATGATGAGAGCGTGAATTATTGAACTCTGCCCTTGTTTTGTTCTTAATTCTTCTACATCTCGGACTTGACCAGCCAATACCAACAACTTTCCTTTAAATACGGTTTGTGGTTGGAATTTGATATTGTAACACTCACAAATCCGGTCTTCAAAACAAACTCATTTCGATCTGAAAACGATATTTAATTTATTACCAGCGATACAGGAACATTTAAATATATTTACTGTTATATAATGAAACCGTTAAAGTAGCTTTTTCTTTTTGTTTTACTGTAAAACTACAACTATAAATGAAGTAAACAAACCCTGACACAATCAAAATTAAACACACTTTTTGGACTTACCTCATTTGATTTGAATGACCAAAATGATTTCAAAACCTTTTTTCCACCCAAATCGTGGTATCACAACAAGTTATTAGTCGAAAATATTTGTTATTTCATTTCGATATTTTTTCACAAATATACGACCTAAATGTCAATGTGACAGAGCCCACAAAGTTGTGGACGCTAGTTGGCGCTGTAATCGTGCACAGAGCCAATAATACAATCGAAGGATTCCCCGTAAAACGTAAACGAAAAGGGTTGCCAATTTGGGAGTTTTAATTTCCTAAATTTTTATTTAAAAAAAGAAAGAATGTTACGTAACGTCTTGTAAAAAAGACCCCCTCCCGCCCCTGTAACGCATCGTAACGTTTTAAGAGACCCCCCTCCCCCCAAATTGCGTTACGTAATACTTGAATGCTCCCTAATTGTTCAGAAGTAGTGTTAGGATTACAGTTAGTATGGTAATTCTGTGGTGTGTAAAACCTTTTTTTAAAAGCCTATTTGTAGAAAATATGTGTTTTTTGTTATATTTTATGGCATCAAAGCAAGATAACATATGACACGATCCATTTTGCATCACATTGGAAGTTCATAACATTGGCGGTTCAATTCCGGCTGTGTATCGAACCTACGTACCCACAGCGGTACTGTTAAGCCGTACCGACGAGCTGACAGCTTTAATATTGTATTAAACTGGCCTTCGTTCACAAAAAGCATCCATCTTCCGAGTTCACAGTAAATGAACAATATTTCAGTTTGTTTGGTGTTAAAATTACTATGCATTTAGGTAGGGAAGATCACCAAATTAGGAAGTTTGGTGATGTAGCGATATGACCGCTTTTTGCACACCAAAGTTTATGTAACTAATTCAAACTTGCATGCTTCTTGATGTAGAAAAACATGTTATGCAAATAAATAATTATTCTATTCTATTAGATATGTTATACAAATACTATTAAGTATAATTTTAAAATCATATCAGCTGATATTGTTAACAATACACAGCACAAAATATTTTTCAAAGAACAACAGCATGTCAAAAAAAATTCAACAAATTATTTGTAATTTTTAAGCACTCACAATTTTTACTTAAATACACAAAATACTCTCAGTAGAGTAAAAACCATCATAAAGTATTTATCTACTTCCCAACTAATAACTGATTCGCATAATTCATTCAACCGATGCGCGCGAGTTGATAAGTAGCTTTAAAATTCAATTTCAGAATGTTACTGCCCCCAATAACCAACCATTAGCCTCTATTACTTTGCTAATATGGGTTATTTTCCCATAAACTGAGCAAAGATGTAAGTGAAATAAATACATGTGGAATCCATTCGTAGCGAATAGGCCGGACTACGTGCGAGGAATGCTACGGGCTACGTGCTACGAGCTACGCCGTAGACGCTTCGTAGTATGGGATTAAAAGTAAGGAAGCTAATTTTAACGTAAAATTTTAGTGGTGTTTACACACGTGAATCCATGTTTTTTAGGAAACAAATTATTATATCTTGTTTATTTTTAGATTGTTTGAATGATCTGACAACGTATGTTATCCTACATGTAAATATTTTTAATCTAGATGTGTAATTTTAATCCAAGACATTTTTATAATGAAGAAAGAAATAATTTAATCGTTTGAATATGATGTCATACACACAACGTC